ATTAGTCACTGTGTTTGGTTCTGGCCTTATTGAGTTACTCTGTACAATTCCATGAAGTATCAAGAGGTTAGGTAGAGAGTTAATGAATTAGTCACTGTGTTTGGTTCTGGCCTTATTGAGTTACTCTGTACAATTTCATGAAGTATCAAGAGGTTAGGTAGAGAGTTAGTAGGCAGAGTTAGTGAATTAGTCACTGTGTTTGGTTCTGGCCTTATTGAGTTACTCTGTACAATTTCATGAAGTATCAAGAGGTTAGGTAGAGAGTTAGTAGGCAGAGTTAGTGAATTAGTCACTGTGTTTGGTTCTGGCCTTATTGTACAATTATGTAAATTAATTATTTTACATTAGTTAACTCATCTGTTACGTAAGCTTACAACATTATACATGAGTTCAAGCTTGTAGAAACATTATGTATACATAAACTTATTTAAGTGGACTGGGCTTTGAATTATTTTGACCCGATAATTTAAAAGAATCTGCCAAGGAAAGAATAATATATATATACTTCTAGTTGTATTTTAAGTCTGATGTAAATTAAAAAAACAGGATTTTTTTCCAGAAAGAATATTATGGAGATCACTTTCTGATATCATTAATCAAAGATAGTGACAAACTGTGTCACATAGTAATACGTCACCTTTGTGATGTAGAAATTTAAGGGCACTGGCCACGTCTCTTAGCACCAAACTTGCCTCATGTTCTGTGAAGCAGATTCGTTTCTCCAAGTGAGTAAGAAGAGGACCTAAACACAACTTGTCATCATAAACTTGTCAAATTTTTCAAAACAAAGTGATTTCCAGTCTATTTCCAAAAACTGAAAAAACTAACATTTGAGACAGAATAAATTAACATTGCTTGTAATCTAAACTGCATGTGTTACATTAAAAAACTCTGTAGTCATGATGAAAGTGGTGTTAGGTTAGGTTACAAGATCATAATATATTTACAACATGGCTGTATTGGTGCAGAAAGTAGTTAGGTTACAAGATCATAATATACTTTACAACATGTCTGTATTGGTGCAGAAAGTAGTTAGGTTAGGTTACAAGATCATAATATATTTTACAACATGGCTGTATTGGTGCAGAAAATAATGATCTTGTAACCTAACCTAACAATATATTTTACAACATGGCTGTATTTATGCTAAATGTGGAGTTCTCTTAGATCCCAAGAATCTACAAAATATGCAAGTTAAGAAAAAACTTTAATAGCCATTCTCAGACTTTTAATTATTTTATTCCAACATTTTATACTTTTCTTTATGTGACACATTTTGAAATTAATATAGTTACATTTTGGTTTATTCTAGTACTTTGTTTACCAAAAATACATAGGAATAACTTACCTCCTCTAACTTTTTCAAAGACTAAATAAAAACTGAAATTAAAAAAAAGTACATTATTTTAAGGTTTATAGTAAAACCAGTTTAAAAGTGTTTATAAATTTTCTTTAAGATATCAAATAAAAAACTGAAACTTGAAGAACCTGCTGTTGTCTCATCCATTATTTATTTATTTGGGACCAAAAAAATATCATTATATTATGATATATTTAAACTAGAATAGGAGTGTAGAGAAATATATGGTTGTTTTCTATTAAGCACAAAGCTATACAAAAGGCTATCTGAGCTTTACCTACCACATGTATCAAAAACTGGTTTCTAGCATTGTAAGTCTGCAGACATAAAGCTGGGGGTAGAGAAATATATATATAAGAGGTATAGCTTCAAACTATTATATCAATTACAATAATTGTCAATAAGCGATCAAAATCAACACTATAAAACAATAATGAACTTAATGTAAATTGAAAACTCTATTTAAAAAAAAAAGAAAACCTTCCCATTTTCTGGTCATTATCCAAAAGTCATAATGGAGATTGCCTGTGGTAATAGCACCCAAAAGCATTAGGGATATCCCACCTATCAGACAAAATCCAAAAAGCAGATGAGAAACCAGTTAGCAGTCATGGAAAATACATTAAGGGTACAGAGTGGAGTGCTTACACCCACAACATCTCAACTCTTACTGCCTTCCATTGTTTGCAACCAGTTGAGGGAAGGCAGTTACCCTTAAAAAGATGTAATAAAGTTAAAAATAGAAATAAGAGAAAATTAAACTACCCCAAAAATATATATTTCTACTAAACAATGCCTACCATCGTCCACCCTTAAAAGTTCTAAAAAATCGTTAAAGTAGAATAAATACCACCCTAATAAGTGTACTACATGTTACTCCCAACAGCTAACTGGTTTCTCATCTGCTTTTTGGATTTTGTCTGATACATGGGCTATCCCTAACGCTTTTGTGTGCTGTTACCACAGGCAATCTCTGTTATGACTTTTGGATAATGACCGAAAAGTGCGAAGGTTCTTTTGTTTCTTTAAACAGACTTTTGAATTTATTTATATATAGTTTATGATACAGAGGCTGGCTCAACTACTATACAGATTTGTAATATTGTGTTATGATTTTAATATGTAAAAACAGGCTCAATTACTCATCAACCTCTCCAAAGTGCCCTTTCAACTGGATGATGTAGCAATTACTCATCATTATCTCCAAAGTATCCTATCAATTGGACGATGCAGTCCACCATCTTCCCCAAAATGTCCTATCAATTGGATGATGCAGTAATTACCCATCACCTTCTCCAAAGTGTACAATCAACTGGATGATGCAGCAATTACCCATCATCTTCTACAAAGTATCCTATCAATTGGATGATGTAGCAATTACCCATCACCTTCTACAAAGTGTACAATCAACTGGTTGATGCAGCAATTACCCATCACCTTCTACAAAGTATCCTATCAATTGGATGATGCAGCCCACCATCTTCTCCAAAATGTCCTATCAATTGGATGATGCAGTAATTACCCATCACCTTCTCCAAAGTGTACAATCAACTGGATGATGCAACAATTACCCATCATCTTCTCCAGTATCCTATCAATTTGATGATGTAGCAATTACCCATTACCTTCTCCAAAGTATCCTATCAATTGAATGATGCAGCAATTATCCATCACCTTCTCCAAAGTATCCTATCAGTTGGATGATGTAGCAATTACCCATCACCTTCTCCAAATTGTCCTATCAATTGGATGATGCAGCAATTACCCATCACCTTCTTCAAAGTGTACAATCGACTGGATGATACAGCAATTACCCATCACCTTCTTCAAAGTGTACATCAACTGGATGATACAGCAATTACCCATCACCTTCTTCAAAGTGTTCGATCAACTGGATGATACAGCAATTACCCATCACCTTCTTCCAAAGTGTACAATCAACTGGATGATGTAGCAATTACCCATCACCTTCTCCAAATTGTCCTATCAATTGGATGATGCAGCAATTACCCATCACCTTCTCCAAATTGTCCTATCAACTGAAGTATATAGCCATTAGCCATCATCCTCTCAAAAATGATCTATCAACTGGATTATGCAGAGCAATTACCTGTCATCCTCTTCAAAATATTCTATCAACTGGATGATGTTTGGATGGCCTTGACAGTGATAGAATGTCTCTATTTCTTTAAATACACGAGTTCTGCTGTTGCCAGGCTTCTTTTGGATAACCTAAGAGAAAATATCAGTTTTAATCTACAAACATTGCATTTTAATACATAATATTTAAGGACAACAATGGACATTTTGGTCCATCTAGGTTGTCACATACATTAAACTAATATATATATATACACACACACCAACTCAATGTCAGCCTTTATCACTCAAATATTTATCAATATTTCCTTTAAACTCCCTTAAATTTACTACTTCCACAATATCTGAAGGAAACCAGTTCCAGAGACCACCACCCTGTTAAAAAAATAAAGCTGTTAAAATAAAAAAACATTATCTGAAGATGACTTCCTCATTGCCAATACTTATATTTGTGCCCATTAGCCTAACCATTCTCACCTTTAAATATGATGGACTGTCAATTCCTTTAACAATCTTAAACACCTCAGTCAGATTCCCTCAACTGTTATTTTTCTCAAGAGCAAACAATTTCAGAGATCTTAACCTATCCTTGTATGACAGCCTTTCCATCCCAGATATTGTCAAAGAATTAAGTGATGAGGTTGCACTTGTTCAGAATTATGTTTTGTACGTTTTCATCATTCCTTTATGTACTATTACCACACATTTTACAGCAGCTTCACAACCTTACTTTCCTGATACCATATTATGTAAAACTCCAACCCCCCCAGTCTGAGTTACAATTGTCATTCAATTTCTAACAAAACTCACAATTGGAAAGTAATTTGTCTGTAAAAATAAATTCAAAAAACATTTGCTTGTAAAGTTATACTCAACTTTCCACTTTTAATGAGAACATTAGGCTTATGTTATAAAAAGACCTTTCACTATCTTTCACTTGTTTGTGTTACTGGCCCTTTTTCCTTCCAGCATTTCAAACATGAGAAGATGCACAAAACAATAATCTATCCATTCTCTCACCCCCTGATATTTTCCATCTTAAAAGTTTATCCTCCATGGGTAACAGGTTTATTTTAAGGTTGTTCTAGCACATTCTGCAACCCTCTTCCCCAAGAGGGCATACTCCACAGTTTAGGAAACAGCTAGTGCACATTACACTGTATATTAACCACATCTTGGGAACCAGCTAGTACACATTACACAGTATATTAACCACAGTTTGGGAACCAGCTAGTACACATTACACAGTATATTAACCACAGTTTGGGAACCAGCTAGTACACATTACACAGTATATTAACCACATCTTGGGAACCAGCTAGTACACATTACACTGTATATTAACTACATCTTGGGAACCAGCTAGTGCACATTACACAGTATGTTAACCACATCTTTGGAACCAGCTAGTGCACATTACACTGTATATTAACTACAGATTGGGAACCAGCTAGTGCACATTACACAGTATGTTAACCACATCTTGGGAACCAGCTAGTGCACATTACACAGTATGTTAACCACATCTTGGGAACCAGCTAGTGCACATTACACTGTATATTAACCACTGTTTGGGAACCAGCTAGTGCACATTACACTATATATTAACCACATCTTGGGAACCAGCTAGTGCACATTACACTGTATGTTAACCACATCTTGGGAACCAGCTAGTGCACATTACACAGTATATTAACCACATCTTGGGAACCAGCTAGTACACATTACACAATATATTAACCACATCTTGGGAACCAGCTAGTGCACATTACACTGTATATTAACCACATCCACTAGCTGGTTCCCAACTGTGTAATGTGCACTAGCTGGTTCCCAAGATGTGGTTAATATACTGTGTAATGTGCTATATTAACCACATCTTGGGAACCAGCTAGTGCACATTACACTGTATGTTAACATAAATTAAGCTGTATTATTTCATTCAAATAAAATATATTAGATATTCAGCACTATGTTTCTCAAAGATTGATATTCTGTAAACGAGAATATTCTACTCACATGAAAAAGTATTGTAAAAGTTAACAATTATACATCAACTACTGCATCATGTCACGAATATAAACTGAAAAAGTATTGTAAAAGTTAACAATTATACATCAACTACTGCATCATGTCACGAATATAAACTGAGAATGAATTCTTAGAGAAAAGGAGCAAATATAGAAAATGAAAAAAAAATTCCTAGCATATTAAAGAAATACATTTTATATGAAACTTATCTTTGTTCACTAAAACTTGATCAATTTCTGTAAGTAAACTATATTAAATTAATCTTTATTTTAATGTACTTACTTTAACTGCATATTCTATACCAGAGTTAAGATTCACAGAATTTCTGACTGTGGCATAAGCTCCTTCACCCAAAATTCCACCAGTAAATTGGTACAAATCTGTAAATATTGTGAAAAAAAATCAACAATATGCTCATTTTCAGTTTAACTTGAAATCTCAAATGAATCAATATGGCCCCTCAATTTGAAGAAAATACTTAACAGGTTATTGAGACCCTAAGAACACAAAACACTTTGTTGTGATACATATTTTGGTAGGAATTACTGTTAATATTAATAAAAAACCAGAACATAATAATCGTTGTTTGATTTCTGCTTGTTGGACCTTGTGCAGAGTTACACTAGACCTTCTGTATGCTAGCTGTACGTAATTCTGAAGTGCTAAGAAAGGAAGCTAGTCAACAGTACCCACTATCAACCCTTGGGCTGATTTTGTCAGACCAAATTGTGGATTTCGACTGTTACTTTATAATGCATCTGTTATGTCTCTGTGTTCGTTTGTTAATTTTCCGTAGAAATTCATTCAGAAAAACTTCAGCAATACAAGCCCTTTCTTAAATAAAACTAGTTTATTCTTTTTCAATACAACTTTGCAATACACTTAATTTCCACAGTCAGTTTAACTTAAACAAACACTATAATTCACAACGAACGATTCACGCACTTTACCTACTACCGCGCTTGACTCAACTGTCCGTCTCTATCTCTGTCTGCAATTCCATTGTTGCCATCACTTCTTGGCGGTCTTATATATTATAAAAGCATACATCTCATCTCTTCGTGAATCTTCTAGAAACTCATCATGTGTTACCAGCGTCACGTGACTTCCGCTGTCACAACACACCCATAGGTCATGGCTACAAAATGCAGAGCTCAAATTTTATTCTTGGCAGTAATGGGACACAAACCAGAGAATTTTAGATCCACAATCTGGCTCAGTCTCTCTTGACACCTTATTTATGTTGTACAATTTATGACAGCAGTTTCATGCAAGAATTTAAGAATCATTACTTAAATTTCTTTCAACTATTTTATGATACTATTGTAACAGTTTTATCATTTGATGGGTTCCTTTTGATTATTCATCAAAAATAATGCAAGGTCCTGTCTTTACTTAATAATAATGAAAGTTATTTTTTTCTTCATCAATAACATACAAGTTCTACAGGCTATCTTCGCTGGGAAAGTTAATTTCACAAACAACTTTTTAACAGAAATTCTGAAACTAATGATATTGATAGAATGACATGCCTAATCACAAATGAAACTTTCCTCTCGTAGCCATGACACAACTTAAAGCTGGCTGACTGACTAACACACTCAGCATTTGATCAATAAAAAAGTAACAGATTCATTAACTAACTGAATAACTAATCCACTGTCACATGTTTTTATATGATATTTGTTTTCCCTATATCTTCTGAAGATTCTAGACATGATGTTAGGCCTAAACTTTCACAAACTTCTAACTGTCTTGCTAAAATGGCCTCTAGTAAACAAAATATCTAAATTAAAATGTTAAAAACATAGCTTATCACAAAAGAAATTAGTACTAGTATTAATGGTTACAAAAACTTAAGAATTATTGTTTATGTTCTCAAGTCCCAAGCAAATAATCTCATACTGACTGCAACAAGAATGCTGTCCGAGTTTACACATATTCAAAAATTCCACACACACTTTAGCCTCAGTAAAGGAGTAATAAATTTAAGTATTCTACATAAAATACCTTATTAACACAATAATTATTCAGAAATTTGCATCACTATATTTAATACTAACCAGCAAAATTACAAGCTCCAAAGTTACATCCAGATTTTCTTTTTTTCTTCTTGTTTCTCTTCTTATGTTGGCTTTTTTGAGGTATTGGCTCTGGCTCACTGACAGTAAGGCTCTTCTTTAGAGTTTCTTATAAAAAAAGAAGGATTATAAACACACTTTAATTTTTCATGGCATACTAAACAATCAAACTTTAATATATTTTAATGCTTTAATTGTACAGAATTGAAAGAAGAAAGCTAAAAACAATTTCACCAGACAATATTTATCAAATTTTACAAACAGATGTTCATACTGAGAATAGAATAATCACTGAAGTGCAAATTCGTTAAAATCATTTATCTTGAAAGACTGATTATGAATGACAAACTCATTTTAAATGGAAGATAAGTGGTAACCAATTAGTTTCAGGTGTTTTACTTATTTGATAAAAACACAAGTATTTTTTTCCCAAACTCTCTGAAGTCAAAATAATCAATTTCAGTAGGAGAGCCGCTTTAAATAAGTGAGAGGTGGAGTCCAAAATTTATATTTACTATTTTTTGCTTATTTTCACCAGTTTGAATATCATCCTTTGAGTAAAAAAAAATCCAATATTAACAATTACTGTTTGCCTGGTAATTTATTTCAAGATATATTTTTCTTTACAAAGAAGTTTTTATGATAAGGTAAGGTTAATTTTATATCTAACTAATTTCATTTTTAATCTCTTAGGCAAATTTGTACTAAAGCTTTTTGCTTGGAAACTTGTAAACTAGAATTGGTCCATAATCCATGGGAAACAAGTGAATATTGAGATGCTAGGTGTTCTGGACAGCGAGATGACTCTCTGGAACATGATGAGACCAATTTGTGGAAACTTGTAAACTAGAATTGGTCCATAATCCATGGGAAACAAGTGAATATTGAGATGCTAGGTGTTCTGGACAGCAAGATGACTCTCTGGAACATGATGAGACCAATTTGTGGATTCTGTGTGGACCACAGATGCAGGGGTGACATCAGCAAGCACTAATGGTTAATTTTTGAACAGTAATTCACAAATATAAACATTGCAATACTAAGGACTATACTCTAGAGGGGAGTATTTTAATCAAGACTAATAATCTATTTAGAAAACTGGAATCCAAATTGGTCTCATCATGTTCCAGAGAGTCATCTCGCTGTCCAGAACACCTAGCATCTCAATATTAACTTGTTTCCCATGGATTATGGACCAATTCTAGTTTACAAGTTTCAAAAGAGTAAGCAGGAGCTGGTCAAATGTGATTATTGGGCTTGATTTGTGTTGAGAAACTGAATGTCTTGTTTCAGGACTTTCAAGTAATGCTTATTCATTATAGATTCCTCATACAACAGGTGTACAAAAAGCTGGAGGGAATAGCATGAAGGCATGTTAGGCAGCCCAACTGACCTTGTTATCTTTGTTCACTATTTGCAAAGCATTTTCTGTCCAGAGATTTGACTATCTGGGCAAAGTAACTTTGAATTTTGCAATTTGCCACTGCAATATTATATCTGTTAAGTTGTCTGGCAGGTTGTAGTCAGTTCTCATCTAGTCCTTGGTTACGTGTTTACTGACATGTACATGATGTAATCGGTTCTCATCCCGTCCTTGGTTACGTGTTTACTGACATGTACATGTTGTAGTCAGTTCTCATCTAGTCCTTTGTTATGTGTTTACTGACATGTACATGGTCTAGTTGGTTCTCATCTCGTCCTTGGTTACGTGTTTACTGACATGTACATGGTGTAGTTGGTTCTCACCTCTTCCTTGGTTACACGTTTACTGACATTTACATGATGTAATCGGTTCTCATATCGTCCTTGATTACGTGTTTATTGACATGTACATGGTGTAGTCACTTTTCATCTCGTCCTTGGTTACGTGTTTGCTGACATGTACATGGTGTAGTCAGTTCTCATCTAGTCCTTGGTTACGTGTTTACTGACATGTACATGGTGTAGTTGGTTCTCATCTCGTCCTTGGTTACGTGTTTACTGACATGTACATGGTGTAGTTGGTTCTCACCTCTTCCTTGGTTACATGTTTACTGACATGTAAATGATGTAGTCGGTTCTTATCTCGTCCTTGGTTACATGTTTTCTGACATATACATGTTATAGTCAGTTCTCATCTCGTCCTTCGTTACAAGTTTTCTGACATGTATATGAAAAGCTAGACACATTTCTCAACATATTTTTTTTATAAAATCCTAGTTATCAGAAAGCTGTTAATATTTTCAAAGTTTCTCTTTCTGTATTGATATTTAGAGGACGTTACTTAAGTTCAAGTTGAAATCCTATCCTGCTTCGAACAATTGAAGATCTTGCTTGTTAAGATGTTTTCCTTTGCAACCGGATATGTAGGTTTTGTTTACACAAGAGATAAATAACAGAAAATGTTGAGGAGGGATCTGTAAACGTGCTCACTACAACGTTTCCAGAGTAAACAGCAGAATTTCAAGTACGAAATGTAGTGTTTGCCGCCCACTTCCTTCCTTCTACGAAACACCGAACTCTCTCTCCACATATATATACATATACCAGAAAAACCTAAAATTGCTTGCAAATGATTTAAATTTATCCAAACTTACGGGAACACCAAGTCAGAATGTGGTTACGTATTTTGAAACTCAAATTTATTTATTTTTTCAGTTCTTAGTTTGCAAGTTTATACTTATTTCCAAATTGAAAATTTCGAACATGGATAAGGCGCCAAACACAAATTTAAATACGCTTTTATGCGTGTAGATTTCAAAATTGTTTATTTCAGATATTCTAGTAGAAGTACACAACGATTATCTGCGATAGCTGTCCCCGATTTTATCTTATAGATCAGAGGGAAGGCAGTAAACAGTCCTCTCCGCCAACTTTTGAGTTACTCTAATTGTTATACCGGTGTGTTCATCGATTTTAAAGTGACAAAAAATTAAAACATAAAGTTTAAAATCTTTCTCACAGCCTAACTAAAGTTACTAGGTTACGGTAACTTAGAAATTGTTTTTATACAGCCTAACTAAAGCTACTAGGTTACGGTAAGTTAGAAATTGTTTTTATACATCCTAACTAAAGCTACTAGGTTACGGTAAGTTAGAAATTGTTTTAATACAACCTAACAAAAGCTCCTAGGTTACGGTAAGTTAGAAATTGTTTTTATACAGCTTAACAAAAGCTACTAGGTTACGGTAAGTTAGAAATTGTTTTTAATACAACCTAACAAAAGCTCCTAGGTTACGGTAAGTTAGAATTTGTTTTTATACAGCCTAACAAAAGCTACCAGGTTAGGGTAACTTAGAAATTGTTTTTATACAGCCTAACAAAAGCTACTAGGTTACGGTAAGTTAGAAATTGTTTTTATACAGCCTAACAAACGCTACCAGGTTAGGGTAACTTTGAAATTGTTTTTGTGCGTTTAAACATGGAAATGTTCAAAGCCCGATGTAGCTTTGGTCTAAAATAAACAAAGAAACACTAATTTCAAATTAACTAGCGATGAAAGAAACAAACTTTACTTCTTCAATACATTAAAGCTGTGAAGTTTTTTTTTTTTATTATTTTCAAACACTTGCTTTGCAAGAATTATGCTGTTTCACTAAATATAAATACATTTTAACCGCAAGGACAAATGTCACCAACAGCTTGTGCTTTGCCTGGCTTGATGAATATCGGGCAAAGAGTAAATAGTGAGGTCCATAAGTTGAAAGAAAAAAAAATGTTGCTAAGGGGAGTTGTAAACAATCCAAGGACAAGGATAATATCATCTACTTCTAATATATGGACTTTATTCTACATTATTTACATAACAAAATATCAAACAACAACATTAATGAGGAACGTATCCATGAGTTTAGAACAGATCTTAGATCTCATTTTGTGCTGTTAAGAAAAGTGTCATCTATTGTCGTTCAATGGAGTTATATTTCATGAGCTGATTAGACAGTGTTTCATTATAACGAAATAAAAACGAGTTTCCAGCGAAAAACTTGAAGAAATATACTAACAGACTACCTCGAAACTAGAACTTTAAATCACTATTTACATATTGTTCAAACGATTTCTAAGTAAGCCACTAGTCTCGGACAACATGTGGGGCAAACACTAAAAGATAAAAACTAAAATTCAACTATCGAATTTTATATTTCTTCAGATTACAACGCCCCTTGGCAGATATTGTACTCATAATTCACTATATTTTCACAATAATCATCTTTAATGATACACCGAAATATTAAAATATCGACTTTTTATACTTGACCTAATCTTCTACGACTGAGAACGGTTTACAAACGCCTCATTACTCTAGTCCTGAACTAGAATACTTCGATTTAGTACAGTTTACAAATGTCTCATTACTCCAGTCCTGACCTAGACTTCCACGACTAAGTGCGGTTTACAAACATCTCATTACTCCAGTCCAGATTGTAAACCGTTCTCAGTCATGAAACTATGGGCGTCTCATTACTCCATTCCTAACCTAGACTTCCACGACTGATGAGAGTTCGGAGACATTTGTGTAAAAGGTGTCCGTATATATATATATATATCATAACACACTTCTCATAGTAACTTAACGGTTTCTTAATGCGTAGTACTTTTATGAATAATCACAATCTGCGGATCGCCGGTTCGAGTCCCTTTCACCCGTGGGGGTGTTATAATGTTACTGTCAATCCCACTATTTGCTGGTAAAAATCGTAGCCCAAGGGTTGCAAGTAGGTGGTGATGACTAGTTGCTTTCCCTGTAGTCTTACACTGCTAAATTTGGGACAGCTAGCGAAATTAAAAAGAGAGAGAGAGAGAAATATACCTGTATTTAAAATGCAAAGTAGATAATAATACCAATATTCAAAATTTAAAGAAAAGAGTTTTCTCTAATCTTTATATAGTAATAGAAAAAAATGTTTTGGCGTAGCAAACTTTCGAAATATGGAAAACACTGGGAAAATTAGTCCAGAAGACTTATGTTGTAACAAAGTTCGAAAATATAACCAAGCTTCGAATTAAATAGAAAATTCCATATGTACTAATACACTAACCATGAGCTAACTTCGGAAGTATCTAACCAACATATCCATCATAAGCAAACTGGGGGGTTACATACTTCCCCAGTTTGCTTATGATGGATG